CTTGAACTCAGTGTATTTTGTATGTCTGCAGGAGTTGTTTAAGCCATTATTATTTTTCCATCCAGTAGCCACTCCAGCTCGAAATCAAATGCATCAATCATTCAATACTGCTTGTGCATGCAAACAATATTGTGGCAGTGGAACCAATGGATGTCAATAATCAGCTAACCCATCAACAATTTACTAAGCAACCATTGCTTGCATTAACATTAAAAAACAGTATATACTGTATTTACAAAAATAAGAAATTTATATGAATATGTTATAAATCATTATCTATAGCTTTCTTATAAGAATAACAACTAAAGCATTCACAGAGGATTCCTGCAAGACACCTATACGATTCCTTTAGGAAATCTATAGGATAATAAAGATAATACTTATAGGATTCCTATATAATTCCTATAAGACACCCTTACGAATCCTATGGAAACCATATAGGATTCTTATACGATATCTATAGGGACCCTGTATTATTCATATAAGACTTCTATAAGATTCCGAAATCTGTAAAATTCCTATAAAATATCTATAAGATTCCTAAAAATATCTACAGGATTCCTATATAATTCATATAAGACTCCTACAAGATTTCTATAAGGTATCTATAACCTTCCTATATCATTCATATAAAATTCCAATAAGATATCTATAAGATTCCTATAGATTTCATATAAGAAACCAATAGGATTCCTATGAGATACCTATATAATTCATATAAGATTCTATAAGGTTCCTTTAGAAAATCTATAAGATTCCTTTAGGCATTCTATAGGATTCCTATAGGATAACTATAAGATTCCTATTTGTTTCATTTAAAAATCTTGCAGTTTTCCTATAAGATTTCATTAAGAATCTTATAGGAAAAATATTAAAATTCCTATAGGATACTTATACGACTCCTATATGATTCCTATAGGATTCCCAAAGGATATCTATTGAAATAATCCTATAGGATCCTATAGATGTGACGAAAAATCTATAAGATTCCTATAGGATTTTCTCTTATAGGATCCTATAGGACATTTTTGTAACGGAGATGGATGAAAATAACACTTTTTATGGTGAAATGAAGAAATGATCCAATTTGGTGACGATTTACAGTAGGTGTGGATATAAGGACCATTTAAAGATTTTTTGTCGACAGTTGATTAAATTATTTAAATGCAATTTGCGTTTTATAAAGTGCTCACACCAGTTACAGCTAGGTTAAACCAGGGAGTTGTTATAGTGACTGGTTAAAATTTATGGATTCAAACTTCCAGAGGCAGATACAATGCTGCTCTGAGCTTATCCAATGGAATGATCTCGAACTATTAAGATGTGCTAATCCTATTCGGTACCTATTGTTCGCTATTGTTCTTGTCTAATTGCCCCTGCTGCGTCCCAGTTCTTTGTACCCTAATGCGCGGTACCGACAGTCAAAACGAAAAGGATGAAAATATCCCCACCAACGTCAGAAAATTTCTCTTAGACTTCAAACCAGTCGTTTTTTTTTAAAAACTATTTTTGTTTTTTTCACAAATATACAGCAATTTAAAACATAACGACTGCTTTAAAAGCACTTTACATATGCTTTAGAGGCGTTTCCTGTCTAACTCCATAGTGAGATTTAACTAAGCAAGCAATTATAAGTCATTTTTTTTGGTAAGTATGTGTACTGCCATTGTGCCAAATTACTTACTTTTCTAGACTGTATATTATCAAAAACCACAATTGCTCGTCATTCCTGTTTTGATGTATTAAAAGATTGATATTTAACTTACAAATGCCCTAAGTCTCTTAAGCGAGCAACTGTGGCTATCAGAGATATTCGCCCATTACTGAACCTATATTTTGCGTCGGACTCGCGCAAAATCCGCTGATCGTCGGTAAACCCGGAAGTAAACATAGGCATAGCTATATGTCGTCATTCTTAACTGCATACTGAGACTGGCGGCGTACATTTTTATTGTTAAAACGTCAATAATTTAATTAATATTTTATGATTATTATTATTATTAAGCCTAAGCCTTATCTTAGTGGGCCTGCTCAAGTAAGGTTGTTTTATTTGTCACCTGTATTCTTTTTATTTATTTTTTGTTGTGATAGCAATTTAGTGATGATGCATACAGTTGAAATTGAGCCCAATCAACCTCTATATGTTTTTAACTTATATAAATCACCTACGGCTAAATTTGTATTTTTTTTTCTTTTTAAGGTTCAAGTCAGAAAATGAAGACCAGTGAATTTGCTAAGGAAGCTGAAAATGGGCGGAGATGAAAGAGTGAGAGATTGACTCTACAGCTCATCATTTTTACTCCATTGCGCTGCTTTCTCGTCACCTTCTCAATCAAAATAAGATTAGATGTAATTTATAATAAATTGTAATGATTTTCAACCTTTAAAAACATAATCGAAACCCAGGCCGTCATATGTTTTATCATTTCCACTGCATTGTTATGCTCTCTTGCTTGATCCAAATTAACATTTCTTTCATTTTTTTGTTAGTTATTTAATTCACTTGTGAAACCAGTACTGCGTCACTGAAAGTGCTATTAATAAAAAGACAGAATTATAAATAAATATAACTGGTTTAGAAAATATAATTTATAATTGGATTGTTATTGCAATTAGATACAATGTAACGGTAATTAGATAAGATGTGAGAGGTAATTTTATTTAAAAAAACCAAACAGGACACATCCAATGAATATTTTAGAATAACTGTCATTTTATATTGTTAATAAATGTATTAAATTGTAACTCTTTTCCATGCATTTTATTCATGTTTGGTGTTCTAAAAGGTGTATTGCAGGGATGGGCATAAAAATAGGACGAAGGGCCACAGTATATTTTTTTATTTAACACAGAGGGTTGTACCCAATTTTTCTTTTAGAACTAGAGGTACATACATGGTGTACCGCAAGCATTTATGTTTTTCCCCTGTTAATTGTTACATCATAAATTCAATAAATAACAATAAAATAGCGTAGAGGAGAGGAGTACAATACTACAGCAACATAAACTACCACCTCCCTGCATAAAAACACCATCCCACATACTGCACTGTCACAAATATGTTTAACAGTGAACACAGGCATAAAGCGCCTAATATAATTTTATTTTTTAAATACTTTGGATACATGATTATCAGTCCTAGCGAGTTTTATCTGCCGACTGTATTACGATAACCACAGCGAGGTGCGCAACTCTAGACTAAACGGAAAAAGCATTCGCAACAAACGTCCGTGCTAGGTCGCCTGACCCGGAGCCTCCTAACAGCAGGGCCTACTAGGCAATATAGGGCTGCTACCTGATCATGACTGACAGGCGTACACGTTTACGTTCACCGTCTTTGTACAAGGCCCGACGGAATCCATGTCAAACTGTAGATTTGCTGTTTGATTAGTGTTTTAAAATAGAATATAGACCGTTCGCCATCGAGCATTTTGCAAAATATTAAATAATCGTCGCGATGTAGGCCTAGGCCTAGTCCACATTTAATTGTTTCTGTATAACTTTAGGTGGTGTAATTTAACTGTTCCCTGGAAATCATGGTATGACACGACGTCGATCATAACGAGAACACGATAACGAGCATGCGCAAAGCAATTGTAATTAGTTGCAAATTGTTTATCAGTTGATTATGATAAGAACAGCGGTACCGCGGGTTATAACCTTTGATTTTCGGTTCGAGAGGTTTCCATGTAATTTCACTGTTCACTGTTCCCTGATCCAACTGATAACAGAGATACACTAGCCTGGTTCACGTCGATACCCGTCTTGAAACATGATACGATAATCCCCTAATTGCGCTCGATGCCAAGTTAGAGCCAGATAAACAGTCAGCCAGTTTCAGGCCGTCGACGTCACACGGTCGAAACATCTACTGTATTTTACGAACCTCTAGTACCAAGTGGTATTCGTTCAAAAAAAAATTGTAAACAACTGTAGAGAAGATGTAGATTCTCTAGGCCCTGGCCCTAGCTACATTTACCTTCGATAAAAAACGAATTATTTTAATCGCTAACTAGCATTCTTCCATTAAAAAAAATATTGTGTTAATTTTCATTAAAACGTATGTATACTTTATGGACCTAGCTTTCTGTCCTGTTTTGTAGTTTTTAGATCGCTCAATTGTGTTGCTTACATGCACTTCGCGAAAATCTAGCTTCGCGGTGTCAAATAAGTTGCTAACTTCCACACACTTTTTTATTTCGACATCGTAAACATGTGCGCTCATTTTAACGACTGGCGTTGGTGGTAGTTCGTTGAAATTGAATTAATAGCGACTATTATAGCAGAAATAGAAAAGATTGAATTGTCAATAAATAAATTCAACAAATCTGATTTTATTATTAAGAAAAATATACATTATCACTTTGAAAAACGTACGCAATCGGACTTTTTAACGTTATTACTTGGTCGATGATGCAAAGGGCAAAGGTCATTGGTAATATCGACTATTCGTAAAAACGGACGTTTGCTGGGTGTTTACCCAAAATATTACAAATAATTTCTGAAAACCAGACTAATGAGACTACTTCGATGCTGTTGTTGCCAGCCAGAAGATGATAATGGTGGTACAATACAACAAAGCTGGCTTAGATGCCTACGTTACGTAATCATGTCCTTGTAATCCGAGCCGACTTTACCGTTAAGCAAGTTAATTTACAGTTATTCTAGTAAAGTTAAGTCACTTAACTTAAGTGACTTAATTCCTTTAACTAGCTATAATTGAGTTCACGTCAAACTTTTAACTAGTTAAGTGGATGTATATCTAGATAAAAGTTCGATGTGAACCAAGCTACTGAAGCAATTGCACTAACCAGGCGAGTGTCTAAATGGCTTATGTTTCGATCTCGGTTTCGACGATTTGACTTTAAGCTTGAATTAATTGTTATGTGATGCACTCGAAAGTGAGGAAGCTGCTACGTGAGGGGTAAAATTTTGGTGTTAAAGAACAAAGGCGAAGTCACATATTGTAAAATTAAACTTTTTATAATTATTTATTTCAGTGGTTGTATTTGATGTTACTGCTGTTAAAGTGCTCATCAAATGGTAAGTTATGCCAGTTCAACAAGTGAATTGAGTATAAGTCATTGGCTTAAATAATTATTGAAGCTGAGTAATCAATACCAGATTTAGCAACTGCGTGTTGTCTTTCACTAATCAATAATAATGGCTTATACGTATTTGTCTTTCAGAAGCATATAATCAATTGGTGTCAATATCTGACCAGGTGGTTAAAGAGGGGGATGCTAGAGTAGTATTATCATGTGACTATTCAAAAGTTAATTCTACACTAAATATCATCAGATGGGATGAAGTAAATAATGCGGGAGCCACTCTTATACCTGGTATTGTAAGTGATAAAATGATGGTCAATGGTAGGTATAGCTTAGAAACACAACCTGGGAAGGCTAACCTTGTTGTCTCAAAGCCAGGAAGAAATGATTCCGGAAGGTTTTTTCAATGTCAGATCCGAATAGCAAATGGAGATTATATACATTCACCGTATCCTGCCAATATCACTGTATATTGTAAGTATGGCAAACTAAATCTCATATTGCATATTTTGAAATTTTAGGTTTTTTGTAAATATATTCTTTTACCAAATTGTACTTTAAACTCTTCACCTGACACCTCAACATAACTATTTTGTAGACTTAGATGAGCCCGTCGCAACTGCTTCAGCAAGTATTGTGAATGAGGGTAAATCAGTGAACTTGACCTGTAGTAAACTGGATGGTGACCCGGTCCCTAATAGTATCTCATGGTATAAGGATGGACAAGCACTTAACGTCACCGACACTTCTATATTTACTACAAGTGAAGATGAACTTGAAATTCACATTAAATTCGCAACTTCAGCTGATGGTGGTCTTTATACATGTAAAGCTGAAAGTGATCAATTCAATAGAGAAGATGGCAAAACCAGTGCTCCATTTAACCTGACAGTAAATAAATACTGTAAGTATCTTTTAAACCATAAAATCAGTTTTCCTGCGATATTATCTTCGTTTGATTAGTCACTAGTACATTCTCATTAAAAAAAAAAGTTTAGGTGTGTGATTTCTATGTACATAACAATACTATTTGAAGTTGGGTAGGGTATAAATAAGTATCTGGTAGAATGGTATGGATTGAATGTATGGGTCGTGCGCGTACGAGCAGCAATGACCAGAGATACTCCCCAAGGAGCAGAGAAAGTTGCACAATGTGGGAGTCTACGAACTCAGTATCCATCCAGTGACCAGGAAAACATTGATTCCAGCGCCTTGTATAACAATCTACGGATTGTGATATTTGTTCTAAAGAAAATATAGATCAACGGTTCTACTGAAAAAAAAAACAATTACAAATAGCCAGGGGTACACATGGTGACCACTTCTTCCTACTAGATTATTTGATATTTATTACCAAGAAATACATCGAAATACAATTAAAACATAGCAGTGTGACCGAAGCATCTTCATGTAAGGAGTTACCGTGGCCCAAGGTCATACGTGTTGTGCGTTTTTTGACGCTCCTGATAATTGGTTAGTATACCACTGTTCCAAAAACGTAAGGACATATTGTAGACCGTGACAAGATCGTCGGAAGCCTGTATAATATAATAAAGTTCATTGTTCCCCCTTTTAATGATATAGTTGATTAAAGAATCCCAACTAAGATCTGCTTAAATAATAATTAATAAACTGTTTACTTAAATAAACAAACTCAGAGTTATTTCTGCAGATCTAGACAAGCCTGTCATCACTGCCTCAGAAAAAATTGTATATGAAGGTGATTCAGTGACGTTGACGTGCAGTACACCTGATGGTAACCCGGATCCTAATAGTATCACATGGTATAAAAATGGACAAGCACTTAACTCTACAAACACCACGAAAATTACTAAACTTGAGGATACAATTAAAATACACATTAAAGCCGCAACTGTAGATAATGGTGGCCGATATACATGTAAAACTGAAAGTGATAAATTCAAGGGAGAAAATGGAAAAACCAGTGCTCCGTTTGACTTGAGGATAATTGAATTCTGTACGTATTTTTTATGTGATCATTTTGTTTACTATATAATGTTTTATTCCATTTTCATTTTTTATTTTTAGGGGATATAGTCAGGGGATATTTGTTAGTTATTTGGTTGATCTTGAGGCCTTTTTATATCAAGAACTTGATAGTCTTCCATGTAGACTTTATATCATTTTTATTTAGGAAAAAGAAAAGAATATTAAAATGATCACTTTGGCATCTTTGATTTTAGAATTTAATTTATTGTGAAATTGTTTGTACTTATTGTCAGTTTGGGTAGACAGACAGTGAAGGAAGTTTTTTCATTATGCATAACAGAGCTAAGAAGACCATCTGGCATTCAAAATTTAGGTTAACGTGGCTAGGGATACGGTACCGTATTTCATCTTCCGTTTGCTAAAGTTACGGTAAATTGCATCACGCAATAAAATTCTGCATTTATGTAGTTCCGCCACCTGTGACGTTATTGATTATGAAGACTTGTGGAATCGTTCGCTATTGTTTTACCATGGAGAAAAAAAATCTTCATGGTTTTCCTACCGTATCCCATGTCGCCGTCGTAGACAATTACTTTAAACATCAATTGTAAACAATGTTTTCCCTGATAACATTGCAATGGATAGTATAAAAAAATAAATAAATAAACTTTGTTGTCCTCTGGGCTAACAACCGCTAACGATAGGAGGCTGTACTTACACTGATCTTTTGCCCAAAAATGTGCCAAATCTGACCGTTATGCTACCTGGTTTCCAGTGCGTTCATCGAGTCATCTTTGTCATGAGGAAATCTTAACCAATACAGAAATATTAAATTTAAAACCAACAGATATCAAAACTTATCCATTCCATTTCTAATTAAGTGCTTAAACCCACAGTAGAATTTAATAATTGAGAGATACGGATGTGTATTTATTAGCTCAGATTTTAGTATTTGTCATTTTTACATTTTAACTAGTCTACATTTTATATTTTATCTTTTTACGGATCCTAATTTTACCTTTTAAATTGTATGTACATTATATTATATTTTAGCCATATGTCATTTTATTGTTATTTTAATTGTTTTAATCCAAAATTGTGTAGGCCTATGCATTGTTATAATTTAAACCTTGTTTGTAACTTTATGTGTTTTATATTTTAATATTCAAAAATCATAAAACTGTAAATGTCACGCAATTCAGCTATGTACCGCTGCTGCCCTGTTTAAATAAATGAATAAAATGAAATGAAAATAAATACTGAATACTGAATTACCGATTAAGAAAGGAGAGACCACGATCGGTTAACATTTCTTAGGAACATGAACATGCTTGAATAATTTCATTCATTTATGTTTTATTTCAAACACAACATCAAGGTAAAAATACAATCAGAACAATCGAGAAATATAAAAATATACAATTCATGATAAGGTAAAAGACATTTAAAAAGGAATGCATTCACAGTAGGCCTAAATATATCTTTGAGATTATATTATATCGTAGTTTAATTACTATCAAAGCCATTATTATTATTGTTATTATTATTATTATTATTATTATTATTATTATACAACAATACACTGGGCCTCTCTTTCATTATTGCCATCATCATTTTTACACTATATTGCAACTATCATTCCTTACTAAATTACTAAACCATCATGCACTTTGTGGCAAAGCTAAATTGTAGTACAGGTTTCAAGCAAATATATAGGGGCCTACGGAATAACATCCAGCAAAAATCACGAAAGAAACACGATGACACAACAAAAATCTCACATTAAAAATATTTTACATCAAAAATACACAAAAGCAGCACAATCACAGAACCAAAGCATCTAAAAAACATGAGAGTCAGAACAAGAGAAACAACATAAAAAAGCACAAAGTCAAAAAGACAAATCAAGGACAAATAGTTTTGCACTAAATGTTCAAAATAACACGATGGAGCTTGGTATTGCATTACTTGAATTTAGATATCTGCCCCATAAGTAGAAAGGATGTGGCTGAAATATATAAAACGTTACATAAACAATGTTTTGTATATAAAGTTTTACTAATAGAATCAAACTGGCATTTTTCATATTATGGAGACGTTTTTCCCTTCATCGAACTTTCAAGGGGTAGGGTGTAATGAGGCTCCGCCCTCAATTGTTAAAAATGCGTGCGTTTTCTGTATGAACAGATTGAAGAAAAATCGTTAGAATTTAGCCTACTTTATATATATAGGCAAAGGCTTAGGCCTATATAATTAAAATTCATACCACCACTAGACGAACGTAACAATTCAAATATGGGAATATAACCTAAGGAAATCTTACAGTATTTGTAAAGAAAGCTGGTGCAAGTCGGTATACTCCGACTGAAACAATATTTTCAGATTTGGGTTGGGATAAATTGTCACACTGGAAGGAAAAAAATTGTTTATAAGCGTTGTGTACTAAATTATAATAAAAATAATAATAAATAGTAATAGTAACAATGGTTTTGGCAATAATGGTGGTAATAAATAATAATAATTTTTTATTCTTACGGAATGCAAAGAAATGTTTATGAAGTAGGAAACCGCTCTGATATTTTTCTACTACGTAGTAATTTATCATTTATATTATTTGTGTATATATATTTAATACCTTTCTAGGATGTATTGCATAGCGTGCCATACGAATTTTAATTTTGTAATTAACCTAAGATCATTTTTGTTTCTTTTTATCAATTGAATAGACATTAGCCTTAAATTTAAATCAGAAATTTGTATTGCAACGTGCATTGCTGATAGTTATCCAAAGCCATCTTATGTAATGATATTTCAAGATGGAAATAAAATGGAGACAGGAGAACTTAGTGCATCTGTGGAAATTAATGAGCATATTTGTAAATCAAACATCACATGCTTTGCAGAGAATGGAGAAGTTAATGCAACTGAAAAATTGAAGTCCTGTAACCCAGGTAACTTAACCTAATTAAAACATATCATTTTAGGGGGGTTTAATAGTACGTGTTGATTCTAAGAATGTACGCGACGGACGTATAAGATGTGACGACTTCAATATACCTACACTTTTTGATCTGTAAATGAAGAATTAGACATTTCAATTACAGTAGCGTGTAACTACTATACACAAACAATTGCTAATGAAATTTGAAGTACTGTAGTAAAAAAAAGCATAAACATGTGGGTGAGTATAGAAACGGGCCATACCATTTATTTAAAATAGGGGTGTTTTTGGACAGGTCTATTTCAAAAATTCAAATTTAGGCACAAGCTTTATTAGTAACTATTGTAGCACTTGAATTTATTGTTCTCGAAAATATATGTTTGCATTAATGAAAAAGATACAAACCACCGGCCTACACTGCTTGTTCTCCAAAATTATAACAGAATTGGAAAAATTACATTTGAGTGCAAGTTTAAAAGTTCTAATTACGGCCACCTTTAGATGTGGTAGACATAAAAATTGAAACCTCGGTCCCAACCATGGGGTTCCGTAGTCTAATCCTCTATTATCTCTAAAATTCTCTCCCTGGGCCTCTCTATTTCGAATTCCTGGTATAAAATGTGCTCTCCTGTGTATTATAAGAGAAAAAAATGATTCATATTTACAATCATATTATATTAAATTAATTTTGTATAGTCCTTGACAAAATTTTTCCGGAAGGCCTCTGGGGAAAATGTGCGAAGCAATCGAAAGCTAAAACGATGATCTCTAATTTTGATTGTGTATAGAGATTTGGCTTAATACACAATAACGACATATAACTCCCGTTTGAGACGCGAATTAGTACTACAATTTGTAGTGTAAGAAGATTATTTTATAGAGCTTTTCTAAGAAAGTTACACATCCGAACATTCCAATTATTATTATTATTATAAACATTTATAAAATATGTTGTGACGTCATTTTATGACGTGATCATTAACAATGACACAGTTGTGATTCATGATACTACGTCACGCTATTCACTTAAAATAAAAGCGAATGATCAATTAAGCGTACGTTACGTATCACAAAGTGTACCATTTTTAATGGAAGTGTTCTTACTCTAAGAAATTATAAAGTGTTCACATGTTTTGCATGGGTATTTCCATGTCCATTTCTGCTACACTACATGTTCTGTCACAAAATAATGTTCTTTTGCCCTCCTTGACGTGGTAAGGTACTGTATGCTCAGTACTTTCCTGAATACAATTCTGGCAAGTGATCAAGCCAGGTGATTCTCCTCCGAATCACTTGCGAGACAAGTATTTAGAACGTCAAGTAGGGCAAAACATCATTCCTACTAAATCTCCTGACACAAACCCAAACGGGTCAAATTGTTTTACTATGTATGTTGTTATATAGATGCTTATTCGTGGAATAAACAATTGATTTAATAAATAATTTCAAATATATTTTTTACTTTAGGGGTTTCAAACTCACAACCCACAACTCAAAAAACACTTATTGTAGTAGTTATTGTCACAGCAGTTACAGCAATTACACTGGGCTTTGTTCCAACTTGTCTAATATGCCGCTACATACATGTAAGTATGATTATTCATCTGTAAGACTTGGAACTACCAAAAACAATGGCAATTATTATAGCAGTACCATTTAATAAACAAAACGTATTAACACACCTACAATACAGTGGTATGTTTCACTATGTAGAAAAGGCAAGAAAGAAGAAATCGTCTCCAGTTGGCAAACATACATCAGTACCAAGGAATGGCATATAAGCGTACAAGTGGAAAATATGAAATACCTAATGTAGATACTTCTTACTGTGATGTTGACGCCATTTACGAACAATCTCTACATTTGTAAATTTTAACTGGTGTTTTAATTTACTCTGTTGGTCAGAATGATTTTTATTTTTTTACTTAATGATATTTTTTACAAATAGGCCTAATTAATAATAGTAAATAATAAATAAGATTTGTATAGCGCTCATATCTATTTTAAAGAAATGATTTGAGAAAAATGACAGCGGAAAAAGTAAAAAAAATCGGACAAGTAAGCCAGCAAATATCTTACAAACTAAGCAGCAGTAGGAAGACGCGCATTTTTAGCGCCTTGATCGCTACTGCAGTGGATATGTGCGCTTTATAAATCTTATAATTATTATTACCGCTCCGTTTACCAAAATCTGTAGCCGCACTGAGGGCTATCTGGTTCATGACTCACAGGAGCTCAAGTATCTGCCTACCTGTAAACAAAAATATTGAGATCAGATAGTCCATGTTTTAGGACAATATTTCGAATTGCGTAAATTTAAAATGTGAACCACTGAGGGCCAAGAATTGAACCTTGGAAACTGAAAAGTCAAATGTGTACAAAACGGGTTCCACTGCATTATCAACACAAACATGCTGGGCCGTTTATCAACATACAGACAACACCAATCCAGTGAAAGACTTTCAACACCAATATAAAATGTTTAAGACGAATCAAAAGAGCGTAATACATACATACTGTACTTCCATAAATTGCAGCACTTATAGTTAATTTTAGCTAGCTAAACAGATACTATGTTTACTTTTCGTTTGTTTTAATATTGTAGTTTAATTTCCCTATTTTTACTTTGTTTTTCATTGATGGTTCTGGACGCACCTTCCATTAAGAAGTGTGACACTGATGAAGAAGTGTAGATTTCATTAGTTTTTACTTATTATTAATATTATATAGCGCTATTTCATGAAGATCAGAGCGCTCAAAGCGTGGACTAGCCCATACAGTAACTTTTTTTCTCCCTAAGGGTCTTTTCGTATCTGAGCTTCCCGGTTAACTGGCACCAGCCAGATACTCCCGTCAGGGTAACTTTCTACTAGTCTAGAAAGATGTACTAGGTTCTTCAAAGTGTACATGAGCCAACTATGTGCACTGGGGCTACTGGTTATAGTCTTTATTCGATAAGAAAAGAACCATAGGCGAGCGTGCGTTCGAAGCAGCGTCGACATTATGACTGCAGGCTGCGGTGCCCCTGCCTTAACCACTAGTCTTTTCGACTCTTGGATGTACTCTTGGTATAAAAAACAGCACTTAAATTTAGAAGTTATGCACAAAAATTGCCTTTGTACACGGGTTGCAGAACACCATTGCTGACTTTAAGTAACGCTTATTAGAAAATGTTTGTAGGCACACTGATTAGGATCAAGTATGTTGCTTATAGCAATATGGTGAGCAAACCTGCAGGGCATCAATCTCTCAAATAACTTGTCAAGAAATTTCATTTTAAATTTCCAGTAAAGCATTATTTTTAATACGTCACATGTTAAATTAAAACAATACGATACGATTTAGATGAAAAATCTTTACTAAAATTCTCTTCATCAATGAAAATATAATGCTTGAATCAAAATTAATAAATTATATAAAAAAAAAGCCCAATAATGTAAACAATAATAATAGTAGAAGCGGCTGGCGCATCGGTTGTGGCTTCGGCTATCTACATTGAGGTCAGGGGTTCGGAACTCACACTGTGCAAATCGCTTGTGTCCTTGGGTAAGGCACTTTATCTAAGGTTGTCTATCTCCACCCAGGAGTACAAGTGGGTACCTACACAAAATGCGCTGATTACTAGCTGCAACATTACGGAATTCTCCCAAAGGAGCTGAGTATCTGTTTGATCCAATGAACCGCGGTAGTAATGTGAAGCGTTTAGAGGCTCTCCGCATGAAGTGCTATATTATTATTATTATTATTATTATTATTATTATTATTATTATTATTATTATTATTATTATTATTATTATTATTATTATTATTATTATTATTATTATTATTAATATAAGCATTATTATTAACATTGCCATTTCAATTATAATTATTAATAATTGCCACTATTGTTGTCAACCCCAACAACTACATTACAGTCATTAGGTGTCATTTATTGTCAAAGGGCAAGCCATATGAAATACATTAAGAAACCCTAGATTTAAAAAAAAAAGTACATTAAAAACAATAACAATGCGTCGTCAAACAATGAGTGCACCGTCATCCAGATGATGGCCATAACGATACACATACAGTACAGTAGTTATCATCAATATCTTCAAGCGCATTGTTATCATTATCATGATAAATCACTTTTTTCGTTATCACTAATCATTATTTTTTTTTTTGGTAACACATTAAACCTGCTTCGTCCTTTCGATGGGGAATCGCTTTAAATTAATTTCTAATTATTTATTTATTTTACTAAAATTTGTACAGTTGGAGTGTTTTGTATTTAATGTACTCCATTTTTATGATGATGATGATGAAGATGTGGCTAGATAGAAGTTATCTTCGGTAAAAGAAGACACCAGCTAGTCCGGCGGCCCACGAGACTATTTCGCGGGACCATCCCATAATATGTATGTAGAATAGTTGAAAGGTTACACTATTTCCACAGTCATATATAAAATGTTGATAAGTCTAATATCAGTAGCGCCTCTAACTCTCATACTTCATACTTTTTTGAATATATATACTATACTTATAGCTATTTTTTAAATGCACGATTTGCGTAATATTAAGCGTATTAGGCCCAGTACAGAGATCTATGACATTTTAATTACTTTTAAATATACTGCACTATGACCCTACTGAATAATATGTATGTGTGTAGGATGAGTCAGAAACAGATAATTTTCTTGGAAGACAGTAAAGAGCAATTTAGACGCATTACGCACACACCAGCAACACGCCAGTCGCCACAGCAAATTTTCAGTGTGAACCATGCTGAAGAAGCCCATTTTAAAAAGGAGCTGCCACTTTTAATGTAGTTAGGTTGTGTTAGATATTTCCATTGTAAATAAATGTCAAAGAAACAGAAATAAAGTCAGATGATTATGATAGCGTATCGGAGTCGATGTTATTTTATTAATTTTGAGCATTGATACATTCTCTCCCGATTATAATTTTGGTCAACGGGATTGCGAACAGGTCATTCCGTTTGTAAAAGAAGCCTTTGGATGAAGTTAACTAGAGTTAAACTCAGGCTATATAAAGTGATCAGAGGCTAAATCAATGTTAATATAACTAAGATTAGAAATTCGTTTTACGTAGTCTATGCTGACGACACACAATTGTACGTTATAGTTACGACCCAAAAGCGTCTGGTGATAGGGTAGCTGCGCAATATCACTTAACAAATTGTATCGTTGTGGTGAGATTGTGGATGCTGGAAAATAAGTTATAGCTTAATGAAACGAAGATTGAATTCTTTCTAATCTCATCTCAAAGACAACCGAGTTTCATTCAATGATTTAGTTTTCAAATTGGCAAATCTAAAATCGCGCTCCAATGTACAGTCCTTCAAAAACTTCAAAATCGTGCTGCAAGACTTTTTTCGGTGTTGTTATGTATTTCCGGTATTGTTATTGTGTACTTGCTATCTCTATTAATTTATTCTTATTGTACTTACTTATATCTTTGTAAACATGGGTTTTAATGTACAGCAGTTTGATCTTTGAAAATTTCATTGAATATTTTAATTCGTAGTTGCCACTTTTATTGATTGTTTTTTAATTGTACAGAAGTTTGATCTTTTTTTGTAAAGGCGCTATATAAATCCTTTTTGATAATAAATAATATCCACAGTATGTTATGTTTAGTAGAACAAAATAAAATCTGAATAAGGCCAAACCGATCCAAATGTACGAAATTGAGGTTTAGCATTTTACTTTTTTATAAATTTGTTTTACTACAACAAAAAATATTTTTTAATAAGTTAAAAGGCTGGAATAGGCCTATCTTGCTGGACAGTGTTATGTGATATTTTTGCTCTTTAATATAGATTAAAAAATGGTCTTTGTTGTATTTTCAATTTTTCAGGCATAAACACCTTATTGAAAAAAAACCACATTCCTATCGACATACCCATTTTTTATTTTCCCAAAACGTGGTCAACACATTTTGTATTTTGTCCTAAAGCAACTAGTGTACTGGAACTTTGTTTTTTGGCAGTGTGTCCCATTACAGATTCTCCACTGTCAACCAAGTGCACCATAATTGTTTTGTTTTGTAAATTTTGGATAAGATAATAATACAACGGTGTTGAGAAGCACTTATTAAAGATATCGTACTACACGTACTGATAATGCTTGTATTCATTTGTTGAGGTGTTTCATTTATAGATTGCAAGCGATTGATATATATAAACATTTTTATAACACATTTGCTGGTACATTTTAAAACAGCTTCAATTCGACATACTCAATTTATCATGCTGGGGGAATGTATGATCCACTTCCACGGTTCGTGCCTTAAAAAAATTTATATATTAACGTGTTTATTCTTTTCATTTATGATTCATATCCACATAGTTGAAATATATGTTTTTTCATCATGATATAGTTATAGGCTATGTTTGTCGTATATCTATTGATGTTTTTAGCTGTAATCCGATATGCTTCAGAGATTAAACATTTAGCCAATATATCGGAGAGAGAAAAAGAAAAAAAACCAAAATGTTAACATGATAAAAACATTCATATTGGTTGCTGGAATATTCATTACACGAAAAACACAGTGGCCACACTGAGTGCCCATTTGAAGCATACCGTAACTATGCTTTTTGGCATAAATTGAACTCCCGTAGCGTGTAGCATTAACGCATAGGCCTAATTTAATGAAAACGTGGCATTTTTAGCATAATTTAGGATTGATGTAAATTCCAATATTTTTAGAGAAATGAATTGTACTTAGTCGACTGTTATATAATCTCTCTATACAAATGACTGTAAGTCAGGTACTAATAATGATGATTGGAAATGTGCAGGCCCGTAGGCAAGGGGAGGGGGTGCAGAGGGTGCGGACGCACCCCTCCTCAAATTTTAAACGGTCCCATTTTTAAAACCTATGATTTCACAAAATCGTTCCTAATTATCCTAAAATGCTATAGCATGCATTGCATTATATATTTGCCAGCTTATCTAACCGTTGATTTTTAATAATATGGTATGAAATTTGTTAGAAATTGATCGTCTCCGGTTATTGCTGAATGATCTATATAATATGAAGAATGTTATCTATGGCCTGCAGATGTACAGGACATAATAACGTTACTTTTTCAGGTCAAAAAAACACACAAATTAATGAAAATTTAAAATGAAATATTCATGAATTATGTGTTTGAGAAATCTATTATGTAAGACCTTCAAAATGCTAAATTATCGATTTTCTCACAAACCCCCTCCAGGCCTGAGAGTGCTATTTCCGGCCATTTTGAGATGCCTTAATCATAAATGTTCTTTACCATCTGTCTGTGCAAGTTCCTCACTTCACCCCCACCTCCATTTCTCCTGCTTTACTGTAGGTCTCTAGACAATACTCAAATGAATGAAAATTTAAATAGGATATTGCAAATTATGGATTTTAAAAATCCAATAAAAAAGGCCCTCAAAATGCTAATTTGTCAGAGCTTCCAGAAGATTTGCCCCACCCCCACGGGGATGCCTAGGCAGTCGCCCTTCGAAAGGTCCACTTCGGTTGCAAAGCGCACCTCCCCATCTAAAATCCTGGCTACGGGCCTGATGTGCCTCTATTCTTCCTTAGAAAATTAAATAAATTTGTTGTAGACAAGTCAATTTTGAACCTGTTTTACTCCGCAGTAGTCGAAGGCGTCATTCCTTTCTGGTGTGTTGTTTGGTATGGAAAATGTAGGGTAAGATAAAATGGTCATCCAGCGTAGTATAAGATGTAGAATTACAGGAATATGTTACTCGCTTAAAGATATATGTCACAATTGCATTTACACTAAGACCAAAACATTTAAAAAGACAAATCATCCATCATATTGTTACTATCAAAAGATACACTCTGTATAGATATATGTATACAGCCTATATACCACGTTCGATGAGATTGTATAATGGACGTTTATGATGAGGTTCGTACGGTATTTTAATTGGCCTATTTAAAATACTGTATTTTAAAATTTGAACTGGAATCTTTTATTTCTTTGCTTTAGTAATTTTAAAATTGTTAATCTGAATTTTAGTAATTTATTTTTTTCTAAACTGGAATCTGTGTGCAACATTAAATTTTTGATTAATTTCTATTTTGATGTACTGTATGATGATAATACCTTAACTGTATCTTTTTATTCTCTGTTTGGAGTTGTTTTCGTTTTTAGTATTTAATGTATATTTTATTTATTGGGAACAATTTTTTATAGATATTAATAATACAAAATGTACTCGCTGCCACTTCCATGTTGGACAAATAGAATTGAAATATAATCTCAATCTCAATCTGAACGTGTTTAATCCATTTTTAGGAAAACATGCTATTTTGAAAGACAAGGTAGCGAGCATGATCTCGATTTTTATTCTTCAGTATTGTATTATTAATCAGGTACTTCACTTCAAGAATTTATTAATATTTAATCAGATATTCCACTTTAATAATTTATTAATATTACTATTGACAATGATTGATGAAATAATATTTAGTTAGAGGGCTTATTTATGGTTATAATAAGGCCCAATAAGAAAAAAATTAGTTTATCATCCTATCTAGGCTGGAAAAGCGATGAGGGAGGGAGGCTTTTTATTTTGATTTTTTATTTTGCTAAAGCCAAATATCATCCTAGAGTTGTTTGCTAGTGCATTAATATTCAAGTAAAATACAAGATTGAGACCAATATTAAATCTTTACAAAAACAATGAAAAAAAAATAAGGAAAAAAAAGATCAATTTTTTACCCAATACGATAGAAGACATGCGGTAGGGGTTGATAAACTAATCATTTTTTTAATTGGGCCTAATATGTATACTAAGCCTGCAGAAGGTGGCGATTTCCAACGGAGCCTGGCATAATTTCATTTGTCACAGTTGGCTACGCTGCTCTAAACTGCTTGCTACGGTGGTATACAATAGACTTTGTTTACGAAAGTTGATTTCAATCCGAGTTGTCCTAATTGTATCTGTTGTATTCTACATTTGTAGTCATGAATCCAGGTAAGAATTCCGTTTAAACCTCTTTTATTGCTTCTTCTGCTAGCAGTGACAGATCCTATACTATTACCCCCGTGAGTCCGATGCTACTCACTCAACCACACTCAGGGGAACCCCATCCTCTGACGGACTCGCTGTACCTAGCGGCTTTGATTGTCTCCGGAGATAATATTTCGAGAAGGGGTATCCAGAAGACGTTAATCAAGTTCAGTGCCGTAGGAAGTGATCCAGTTGGACCAGTTATGGTGGGACCAGTATTATATCACCAATCAAATCAATGACATATCGTTTGTATGCTAATTTGTCCTTTTGCCGCAACATAGCATGTTTAAGGATATTATTATTAATATTATTAAATATTTGAAGTTGACTACCAAGAAAGTGAAAAAAAGAACGTTTAATTATTTTATATGTCAATGTAATTAAGGACTATTGAAAAAAAAAAACAAAAAAAAACAAAAAAAAAAAAACCTGAATGAGTTTACTGTACTTATAAACCTGGGTGCTTGCATGGGCCTACTCTATAACTTGAGTGAAACCGGTAAGAACAATACCCTGGAGGATACTTTTTCCGAAAGTCATTATGTTTTGAAGGTTGAAAAAAACCAGTATCGGCGCTATCAGAAATTAAGTTGTATCTCCTTACTATTTATAATTTTTATAAATGATTAACCAAATCAAGTATCTGAGTGTTGTATAAGTATGTATACATGATAATGGAATTTACTATGCAGGTAGGACTATTGACAATGAAACATTTTTTTTTTACCACTATAAATATTTTCTTACCACTGCATCATTTGGTCATTTGGCAAGACTTTTTTTTTAATACATTGTTTCGAAACTTATTATTAGAGATCGTCAGAGGAGGGCGGAAAAAAATGAAATAAAAAATGGTTTTCTTAGCAATGGTGTAGCCAAAAACATCCAGATGGAGGAGAAAATTAAATTTTAGGTCTAATCACGAAAAATGGGCATGTAAAACAATATGCAAAAGGATAAATACCAAACTGAACCATACAATATCAGCTTTCTGTATCTGAAAAGACCTGGCCTGCGATTTATGGATTTTAGATTTTTAAAAATCACGCTTAGGCCTATGCAGTGGTGGCTCTAAGATATAATTTATGTGGTGGGGGGGGGGGTGG